CATACCTTTTTATATTTTTTTTTTTTAGATTTTCTAATTATTTACTATACTAATAAAGAGGAATTCTTTATTTAGGGAACGTATTAATTAAAGAAAAAAAAAGAAACAAATATCAATTTAAAACAAACATGATATTATTCTTTAAATCAAAAAGTATTGGCTTAAGAATCTGATTTTTATTTTTTCGTATATCTTGTGTATCAAAAAAATATGAAAAATTAACTTAAGGGATGTTTTCTCAGTCATAAGGATCTCAATTTTATCAATCAATTAAGATATTATTCATGGAAACAACTCAATCAGCCTTTAAGCCAGTAAGAGATCTTGATAAATTTGAATTCTTTGTAGGATATGAAAGAGTAGATTCAGCTTGTTGTTGTCAATCATCAAGTCATGAAGATGAGACTAAATTATTTAGAAATAAAAGATGGACTATGGAACAAAAATTAGTTGCTGTTCGAACAGCAAAAAAGATGGGAATGTCAAAAGCAATTAGCTTTTTACAGAAAACAAATCCAAACGAATTTTCTAAATTATCAATATCAACATTAAAATATTGGGTAGAACAATCAAATGGAAGAAAAAAAAGATATTACGATTAAACATTTTAATGGGCATAATATTCTTTGTAATTGATTGTTATAGTCGTTCTATTGTATACTCTCTAATTCATTTTTTTTCAATTATTTGAAGTGTATTTGAATATTTCTTCAATCAATAGTTTCTGAACATAAACATCTTATTCTTTCTTCCTTCTATTTTCATTTTATCAAAATAAAAATTTCACCCTATTTTTAAGTTACTATTATCATTATAATTATAAAATCGTTATAAATATCAAATTTTAATATTAATTTGTTTTTAATAACGATATTATTTTTTTTTATGTTTTGCAAAAAAAAGAATGAATGAAGAAAACAAGTGAATAAAAGAAGATAATTAAGTAAATTATAATACACAAGGGACATTATAAAAAGAGTTAATTCCAATTGTTTTTAAATTAGGAGGTAATGAAACACTAGTTAAAGAAGTACAACCAGAAAAACAATTATTACCAATTTTTGATACAGAAGAAGGAATAAAAATAGCGTCAAGAGACGAATCATTTAAAAAACAATTATCTTCAATTTCTTTAATTCCATATTCTATTTGTCTTCCATAATGTTGAGTATCATAAAAAGTAAAAATTTTATTAATACAAATAATGTTATTGTTATTGTCTTCTATTAAATGACTAATATATTGTGATACAAATGCATCAATTCTTCCTTTTCCTATAATTTTAATACTTTTTATTGATTTTGTAATATTTAATTGATTACATAAACTATTAGCAATTTGTAATGGAAACGAAATACTTTCTAATGACGTACAATCAATAAGTGCATTACTTCCAATACAAACAACATTTGTTGGAATTTCTAAATGTTTTAATCCAATACATCCACTAAAACAACCAATCCCAATATTTGTTAATCTATTACTTAATTCAATTCTTGTTAAGTTAAAACAATTAAAAAAAACATAATTTCCAATATCAATAATGTGAGACGGTAATGTTATTGTTTTTAATGTAAAATTTTGTGAAAAAGAATTATCCCCAATATGAGTAATGTCTTTACAATAAAATAATTGTTCTGTTGTATTTTCATTTCCATTATATTCTATATGACTAAAACTAAATTTTATTGTTTTATGTTTACGAATTAATATTTGTTGTTCTTTATATGTTATTGGATAACATATTTGTACTTGATCAATACCTTTTATAAATGGATCAAATGATGAATAAAGATATAGTGTTTGAATGAAAGGAAATAATGTCAATGATTGAATACTAATTGGATTAAATCTCAATCTATCTAAATTCCTTTTGTACTTGGAACTAACACAAACAATATTTATAAAATCACTTTCATATTCTAAGTATTTCATTACAATAAGCATTGAATATCCATCTATTCTGTTCTTTATTTTATTCATTTTTACTTTTTTTTTCTGTCTTATTTTCTTGTTCTTTTTTAAAAAAAAAATTGTTAAAAAATAGAAGAGAGAAATTAAAAAATTAATAATAAGAAAAAAGAATTCTAATAACTCGTCTTTGATTGTATAATTCAAAAATAAATAATGTTATTATTTATATTAATTTCATTTATTTATTAATAGAGTTGATGTTAATTCTGATTTAATAAAATATAACATTACTTGTATCTATAAACTTGTCACTTTTAAGTGCCAACATTGATTTAACGATTAATTGGAATTATTATACTTATCAACGCTATAATAGAATTTAAGGTAACTTTATAATTTTTTTTTGTAAATAAACTCATATCATTTTAAATAATTTTATTGTTATCTTCTTATATAACAATTAATACTATAATTCTTCTATTTATTATTAACAATCATTGAAATAAAAACAATTATTATTAATGAAACTAAAAATTAATATTTTTTAATAAAGATTTTATTAAATATATTATGAGGACTTTTTTCCTTTCAAAAATATTAATATTTAAATAACTTATTTAGTTTAGATAAATTGAATTAATATTATCTTTCTTTGGGTTTTGTAGTAAACTTCTTTTATTCTGTTAAGTAATTTAAAAGAAAGGATAATAACAAATTTTAATTTAAGGAGAAGTTTATAGAAAGTATTACATCCTTGTTACTAAACTCCCATCACTTCATAAATATTAGACGTTTAGTGTAGAAGATAAAATAAGTGGACATAATAAAAAGACAAATCAGGTATTTACTATGAAATAAAGATATTAAAACTGTTTAACACAAAATAAATTAATGAAATAAAAGTAATACCAACACTATGACAATAAATTAGTTAATAAAGAAATAATCAAATTGTTAAAAGAACAAAGAGTTATAAAACAATCAGAAATAACGGTAAAAGATACAACAAATATGAAGTTAAAAAAGTTAATGGAGTATAATAAAGTTATTGAGATAGATGTAAAGATATTAGGAGTACCTTATGAACAAAGCGTCATGACCTTGAGAGATGGGACATAATCACAGTTGAACAAAAAGAAATAGAAAAACCAAGATGTACTCAAACATAATTCATTTGATACAAGTCATAAAGGTTGTTTAAATAATTCTGAATTTACTAAATTATTTTCTGAGAATTTTTACTAGAGGAAACTAAAACAAAAATAATGATTTAATAAACTAATTCAACACAACTGATAAGATGAATTAACAGAACTTCAGTATTTTTATGAAACCCTTGAAAATATTCGATGAACAGAAATTTGTTTAAACCACCAACTGTTTCTTGAAGCAGTAACACATTTGTGTATTTTCTGTTCGATAAGTACGTTGGACAGTAATAAACTAAAAATTAAAATAAAAGAAATAATTCTTAAACTTCTTTAGAAAAAAAAAAGAATAAGATTCATTAATTTCAACGAGTTGTTCAATAGAATAAAAGAAATTATTATCTTCACTATATTATAATTGAGTTGTGACATTCATTTTAAAGTTCATAAAACTTAAAAATTAAAAGAATTAATTTGATTGAAAACTTAATATTTAAGAAGAAAAAAAAAAGAAAAGGGTTAAGAAACAATACTTTTTAGTTTTAATTATTAAAGAAAAAGTTAACTTTTATTTGAATTTGATTACGATTTTTTCAAAGATCTTAAAAAAGATCCAGTTTATCAAAAATATTGACATCCATGACGTCACATCCATTGACTGTCAATGTTTCTTTAAATGAACTTCTCAATATGAAAGAAAATATGTTAACACTACAAATAATTCAAAAAGAAAATCAACAGCTCTTAAAGGTGTATGCAGAAAGAAAACGTTCATATGAAAGATATCGAAATGAATGGGAGAACATAATAAAGAAATACGAAGAAGCGATGTTAAAATTAACAACACTTGAAAAACAAAAAGAAATTTTTGATAACAAAATTAAAATGGCTGATGAATGTTATTGTGATATTTTAAAAACTGAAGAAAAAGAATTAAATGAAAGTATAAAAAGTGAAGAAGAAATGTATTATCCAGATGATGATAAAGAAGATGATACTGTTCTTGAATATTTTGGTTGTGATTCAGAAGAAGAAGAAGTTCAACAACTACCACCAGTTATTAAAGAAAAAAAAAATAGAAAACAAAAATCTGTTAAAACACCAAAACCAATAAAAACACCAAAAACAAAAAGAAATAAAACAGATACTCCAAAGAAAAGACAAACTAAAACACAAATAGAAAAAGGAACATCACTTAGTCATAAAAGAAAAAAACAATTTTATGAAAAATTTAAAGATAATGCTCTCAGAGAAACAGAAGATCTTAAAGTTTCTTCAATACATTTTGGAGATAAAGATAAAATGTTTTCAGTTAGTTATAAAAGTATTCTTGATATTATTATGGATAGAATTAAACAACAAAAATCAATACCCATTATTGATAATCAACCTGCAATTAAAATTAAAGAAATATTTAATGCATTTTGTTTTGGAAATTCAGACATTCAAAATATCCTTATTACTTGTCAAGAAAGTCAATTAGTCGTTAAAAAAAAAATACTTCAAGACTTTGTTAAATGTATTGAAACTCTTCAATTTGAAAGAACACTCTTTCATTTTAACTGTCTATTTCAACTTTCAAAAACTAATTCTTCTTACTTATTGATTGTTGGTTGTGATATTGATTAATTGATATAAATAAACGTCATGTCTTCTTTGTTTTTATAATTTAATTTCTTTTTTATTTCTATTTTTTTCTTTTTTTTTATTAAATGATGTTTAATCCTTTTTTTTCTTTATAAATTAAATTCTTGGATCTGGTTTTTTCATTCAATGAATAACTCTAGTTATACCACTTCTTCTAATAATGGTAATGGCTCTGAACTAGTACATATTTTTAAAATCCCTGAAATGAAAAAATTAAGCTATCCTAACTTCTCATTAACTATAACCCCTCCTAGCTCAAAGACTCCTCAAGTAATTTCTTACAGAACTAAATTTACACCTTTAGCACCAACTATTCAACCTAGTTTTGCAGGTAGTTTTAATACTATAAATACTTTGACTTCAGTTGTTCCTATCATATCTCCTATAACTCCTCCTGCTATTTTTGATTCACATAGAGGTACTAGTAACAATAATTCTGCTAACTCTTCTGGCTCTCCACATGAGGACAGTACCACTGGTACAACTAATACTTCTAAAAGAGGAAGTAAAGATAACAGAAGAGATTTAATTCATGAACCAACCCGTCCTCAACTCCCAACAGTTTCTAATGAACAACGTAGTTCCACACATAAAAAAGAAAAATCAAGAGATAAGAGAAGTAGCCAAAACGTTAAAGAAATTAGATGTGAATATGAATTCAATGAATTAAGATCTGGTGATACCTTTAAGAAAGTAATGAATAAATTAACATTAGAAATATTTAAAAAATATGGTTTAACTAAAAAAGACTCACCAAAAATTCTCTTTGAAGCAGATAGCAATACAAGTATTCTATCAGCAGCAAATATTCAAAATAAGTTGTATAGCAAAAGTCATGTCACATTTTACATTATGACAGAACAAAATATTTATTGCATCTATTTTTCACAGTTTGGTAGTAAAGCAAACGATGATGAATGGATGGACGATGAAAAATATAGAATTTATTCTGTCTTCAAAAACTGTGAATTTCATTTACAAGAGTGGAAGAGAAAAGAGTATGAAGACCCAGATGATGATTCAAGTAATATACTTCATGCCTATGGATTATACACTCCATTAAATACTGAAAAAGAAGTTATTCAAACATATTGTGGAATTGTAGTTAATAAAGATAAAAGCATGTATTGGGACGAGAATTTTGATGATTATTATGAATGCCCAGAAACTAACAAACCATTCTTTAATGAAGAAGATGATAGTAGAGAAGAGAACGTACAGAGACTTATCATTACCCAATGGAAATAAGTGAAAGCTCTATTTTTTTTAATTCTTTTTTTATGTTTTAAAGGAAAGTAATGTTATGAAGTAAACATTCAATTAGGTTGTTCTGAATTAAGTATATCTGCCATTGAAAAAGCACGATACCCAGCTCTTCTTTTTTTATCTTTTTCAGGATCTCTTTTTTTCATTATTTGTGAATCTTTAGCAGATATTTTCCAATCATCTGATTGACTGTTATTATCTTTTACATTTTCCAAAGGTTCATCATTTAAATCTTCTATTTTACTTGAGGAATTTAATGGTTCATCTTTTGGGCTTAGAGAATTTGAATAAGTATGAAGCTCATTTTCTGAACGAACAGAATCATTATGACTAATGTCAATTCTATGTGGAGTAATTCCTTTCAAAGATTCTTTTCTTCCAATCAATTTTTGTTGCTCATGTTTTCTAGGTGAAACAGTAACAGGAAATTCTGTTATTTTTTCATCAAGAATTAGTGGTGTTTTGTTATGGTCTTTTTGAGGATCAGAAATACGAGATGAAAGAATTAAATGAGGTAACGGTGTTGTATTTAATGAAGAAGATGAAGTAGATATTTGTTTATTTGATTGAAGAGAAGGAATAGGTTTATTTGGTACTAAGTAGGTAGTTGTTTTTGAAGGTGTTAAAGGATGAATAGGATGTTGAGAAGAGGGTTGGTCTTCATTTGATCTATTAGAATGATGATTTGTTCCAATATATAATTTTTTATCAAGTCTAGAAGTTACTTGAATAGTTTGACCAGGAAAAGAGGATAATTGAGAATTTTTTTTTGCAAAGATATTAATAATTGAAGAAGGAGTATTTAAAGCGTATTGAACTTCATCATTAAAGAAGGAATAATCTTCATTAGTAAAGAAACAAGTTCTTTGATCATTATATACATTTGGCAATGAATATTGAGAAGATATTTTAACATCATTAAGAAGGTCAATGTGATCAATAAGATATTGTAAAATAATATTTGCATTTGAAACATTTGAAATACAAAAAGCCCATTCATCAAAATTAGCATTAGAATTAATAATAGTGTAAGCAGCAAACATTCTCATTAAAGCAACAAAAATACCAGTAAGACAAGGTTGAATTTTTTTAATCCAATCACTAATTAAAATTACTTTTTGTTGATCATTTTGTTGAGAGAATGAAATGAGGTCATGTTGATTTACCATAATAAAAAATGGTGTACAACTTGTTTTTATATACAATTTTAATAATGCAACCATTTCATTAAAACTACCTTTAATAATACCATTATTAAATGAATCAACAATGTTCATAGTTAATTTAGTTGGAGGAATTGGTTTAAAGATATTATTTTCGAAGAAATTATCATGAGTATAAATATGATGCATTAAAGATGTAACTAAAGGAGGAATACCATTAATTAATTGTGTTTGATTAGGTTGAATACCAATTAAATAAGTAGAATAAACCTTTGATTGTTTTTGTAATCTTTGCATTAAAGAAACAAGGTCTTCAATATCACCATCAATTGGTAAAGGAGAATTATCACCAAAAGGAGTATCCATTTTCATTCCAGGGAATTTTTCATAGTAATAAGCTCTTGAAGATGAAACAATAGTAAAATGAGTGTAATCAACAGGACAACATCTTAATAATGTTCCAGATTGATAAATACAAACAAAATGATCAACTAAAATAATAACTAAAGGTTCAGAACAACGTTTAAAATCAAATCTATAATAAAAATAAGAACGTTGGAATCTATCTAAATCATCAGATAATTTAGTATGTCTTGAACAAAAATAGTCTAAAGGTAATAAATAATAGCCAAGAGAATTATTTATAATTTGATCAATTCTATCTCTTTGATTAACAACACCAGCAACTCTATAATTTTCATCAAGTAATAATGGAATAAAAGGAAAAGGTTTTGACATATAAGAATTAATTAAAGGAAAAGAATGATACAAAGGTAATGATATATCAATTGGTAAAGAAATAAGTATATTTTGAGTATCATAATGAAATACAAAAGGAATTTTTTTAGGAGAATTAAAATTAACAAGAAATGAATCACCAAATATTGTTTGTAATTTTTTAACAGGATCATTTATATTAAGTAATCTATTTTCAAGTAATCCATTAGTCATAGCAACAGGAATTGATTTTCCAAATATTTCAAAAATAGTTTTTTCAGAAGGAATAATTTTTTCAATAATTTCACCATTTTCTGAAATTTTAATAGTAAAAGGATCAAGTGGTTCAATTAATTTAGAGTATTCATAATTTTCATTTTCTTGATTTTCTCCATTAATATTTTCAATAAAATGTTTCAAAATAGGATAATGTGAAATAACATAAGGAATTGAATTTATTTTATCAAAATTACGAACAACACTACACATCTTTTTACATTTATCAAAATTAACTAAACCGTTTTCTAAACGAGATAAATTCCCATCAGAAATAAAAGTCATATCACTTAAATAAATTCCAATATAAGGAACACAAGGGATTTGTGATGATTGAATAATTTTATTTATTAAATTACGTAATGTACTCCAATTATGTTCAGGAGATACAATAGAAAGTAAATTATCATATTTTGATTTAGTTTCATTATCTAATTTTGAAATAGTATTTTTTAATCTGTAGATTGGTGATGTTAAAAATATTTGCATAATACATACTAAACTATCAAAATTATTTAATATTTTACAATGATTTGCAACATCAATTAAAAATTTAATAATTATTAATCTTTCTTCTTGTGTTTTACAATGAACTATTCTTTTTTGAAAATACCATTGAAATCCATTATAATATTTTACAAGTGTTTGAATTGATTTACATGCATTTTTATCATTTGTCCATTTAAAAAATTCATATAATTTAATTTTTGAAAATGCTGTATGAATTATTAATGTCATTTGTCTTGCAAATTCTATTGCTGGAATATCAATTATATCTAATGGTTTTTCTAAATGCATTAAACAATTAAATGTTGGAATAGGTAATGGTGCATCTCTAATTGTTTGAACATATGTTGTTTCTGTTCCTGCAAGACGTTTTTCTAACATTGAACGAAGTAAATCAGCTTGTTTAGACATTTCATATTCTTCAAGTCTTTTACAAAATGATTGAAAAATTTGTTGAACTTCTATTTTATTTGATATTGCTCCCCAACATTCTATTAAAATATATCGAAGACCATTCATTATTCTAACCCTAACTTCTTGTGCTTTTTTTGAATCACTTTCACAACTTAATTCAAACCTATCAATTAATCCTAATATCATTGCTGATGAACTCATAAACATTGTATGTGTCCACATAAATGTTTGCATAAATTCTGTTGAAGCTGAACAAATTTCATTTAATAATGCGTCTTCATTTGCTGCACAAATTTGTCCATCTTTACGTATTGTTGTTGGATCTTCTTTAAGTTTATTTATAAGAAGTGAATCATCTAAATTATTCTTTTTCTGTGATGATATTTTTCTTTGTTTAATCTCTTCAATTTTACTGTTATTTTTTATTCCATACGAATGTGAAACTTGAACTTCTTCATCACTTTCATCCATTGTATCAACAAAACTCAACGAACTAGCATCACTTTGGAATTGTTCTGGTTGGTGTATTGACTCGAATGTTGTAATACGTTTGTTTTGTTGTTTAGATAAAGAAGAAATGATAATAGGAGGAGAAGAAGGTCTGTTCATAAATTATTTTGAAAAGAATAATTTATAGATTTTTTCATATGGGAAAAATACTTTCGTTTTTCTTTATTAATGAAAACAAAAAAAAAACATATAAATTCATTTATTTTATTTAAATCAAATTATTCTTTTTATGTTTATTTTATGTTTTTCTTTTTCCTTTCTTTTATTAATAAATTATTTAATTTTTTTATTAAATAAATAATTATTGAATTTATTTTCTTTTCTATTTCAATAGTAGTTTGTAATTTATTCATTTTATTAAAATCGTATTTTTTCTTTCTCTCGATTTATTCTTTTCTATTTGTATTTTAATTTATTTCTTTCTTTAAAAATCTCTTTAACTAAACAAAAACCTGATTTAATTTTTATTCCTTTTTATTCCGTTAGTTAAGAAACTCTTTCCTTTCAATCAGACAAAAAGAAAAAATGAGAAAGTGCAAGAATATTATATAATTAATGATATAGTAATGTGATAAGTATGAAAGATATAGAATAAAAAGAAATAATAATAAAATTAAATAATATAATGAAATAGTTTAAATATTAATAATAAATTATAATGCAATTAATAATGAAATAGTTAAATATAATAGTAATAATATAATATTTAATAAAATTAAAATAATAATTTATTTTCTCTTATTTATATTAATAATTTCTCTTATATTCTTTATTTTTATTCTATTTTTCTTTATTTTCTTTTTTTAATATTATTTTCATTGATTAATTATTATATCATCATTTTCTATTTGATTAAATAATAAATGATATATATTTCATTTATATTAACATTATATTTATTATTTTATATTTATATTCATAATAAAGAAGTATATTTAATTAATACTGTCATCTTCATTATTATTATTTATATTTCTAATATCTATTCAATATTTCTTAACATATCATATTTAATTATAATATTTTAATTATATTTATTTTAAATTAAATAGAATTATATCAATAATGATAATATAATAATTTATATAAATAATTTATATATTATTATTTAAATTCATTATTACAATTACTTTTAATTATGATAAAAATACAAATAATATTCTAAATTAAATAATGATATTATTTGATAACATTAATTTAAATAAATAATTATCATTCAAATTAAAACAGAAAATAAAAGAGAAATATAATAATTAATATCAAATAAGTAAAGAATGTATAAATGAACATAATCTATTTTATTTAATAAAATAACAGATTAATGATAATATTCATTAATAAAATAATTATTAATAATATCATTTATTCAATAATAAATGATAATTTAATATAATTTTAATTATTTAAAACATTTAAAACATAAATAAATATGAAATAAATAAAACAAGATAAATCATAAAGAAATATTCATATTCAAATTAAAAATCAAATTCAAGTATTTGAATAATTAATAAATAAGAAAAAAGAATATAACAAGAAATATAAAATGAATAATAAAAGAACTTAAACGAATAGATAATGATAAAGATAAATAATGATAATCATTAAATTAACAATAAAATCAAATAATCAAATAAATAAAATAATTTAAAATATAGAATTTATTTAATGATTAATTTTAAGAACTGTATTTCAGTTAAATAACACAATGAATATGAATATTTCAAATAAAACAAGAATAAAATATGAATATTTTTATATTCATTATTTCATTCATTGATAGATGAAATGTTCATATTCATTTATTAATTTTATTTTATATTCTTTTTTAGTTTTTATAATTCAAATAAATAATAATGAATAAAAATCATTTCATTTCAATTACAATGATTCGTTGTGGTGTGAAATAGTGTTTTCCACAAAGTGCATTTGATATCCTTTATAT